AAATAGGTTACAAATTTGTAATGGGTTTTTGCCAGGTTGACAGCACAAGAGGGTTGATGAGGAACCATAGGAAAGAAGGGGCGAATAGTTCAATGCTTAGCAGTTTGAAGGGTTTTTGAGCTGTATTTGCCAAGCAATCTACTATTGCAGAGTCCCTGAGCCTGAAAATCTCTCATGGTGTTGGCTGTGTGTACTGGGTGGATGGTAGGTGCTGTTTGCAAGGGTAGCCTAGGCTGCAATGTGAATCTTAGGAAAATTAGATTAAAAATTGAGAATTGAGGTGTCCCTGCATTGGACATTGGTTAGGTGTAAAGCAATTTGCCCTGTAAGAATTTAGGAGAAATACGGATCAAGGTAGGGTTCTTCTGAATGTAGGCTTGTTATGGATTTGGCTTTGCAATTTATTTTTTTCATCATGTGTGACATGGGGTGAGAGTAATACTGCAGTCTAATGAAATAGTGCATTGGAGAGACGAGAAGGGTTCATTTTCCTTTTTCTCTTTGATAAGTAACACGAAGGTTGTCTTGTATGTAGGCTTGTTACGACTTTGGGGTCAGAAATGTTTTCACAGGACAGGACATGCGGTGAGGATTAATGGGGCGGTCTAGTCATCAATTTAAAGCTGGTGATTGATGGTTAAAAAGATGAAGGGGGGTGGGGGCGGGGGCGGGGGCAGGGGGATGGGGATTGGAAGCTACAAAGAAAATCCAGTGTCTTATTTATTGATGTCGTTTTTCGTGTGACATGTTAATGGGTGTAGTAGGTAGCATGCAACCCGCAGCATCGTGTTGTGGGTTCACCATCCTAATCAGCCAGGCCATGGGGCTGTTCCTTCATATTTATGGATGTCAAGGAAGAGTCTTGCAATATTTGTTTGGCTGGTGAGGTTAGGGGGTTGTCTTGGATGGATGAATCATCCCTGTTGCTGGAACCCACCCCTAAACTAGTCACGTATTTCAAATCCCTTGACTTGGTAAAATTTTGCCGCTTCATAGGCCCTTGTCGCTGGAACCCACCCCTAAACTAGTCACGTATTTCTATAAGGATGCAACCTTAAACAATCCAATTAAGGCGCACCTTAAAGTTTTATCATAACATGTAATTTTGTTATAAACAATTCTTAGTATTATCTTAAAATCTATTTTCATACCTAATTAGAAAATTTTAAGTTCCAAAAATGGTTAAAATCAAGTAGATCTATAAATATATGAAAATCTTGAAAATGGACGGTCTAGATAATGTGTTGCAAGATGTACTATTTCCGGGACTCAAAAACTTTTTTTTTTTCATATATACATCTCAATGTCGAGATGATTGATTAGAGGGTTTATTCAACATTAAAACAGCATTTCCGATAGATTTTTGAGGTGCATCTGTGATTCTACATTTTAAGGTTGCAACCTTATATAAACTTTGCCCATATTTATTTGCTTGTAACTGCCTTTTGACATAATTTTCGTCTCACCTCTGCCATGGTGGTGTCCCCATTTCATGTTGGTGTGGACATCATCCAGTCTATCCCCATATCATAATTGACTCCATGTCCAAGGACAAGCCTTCACTCACTTCCATGTTTTGGGTGAAGTCACCTATCACCTGTTATTTGAACTTCTCCTCGCACCTTTTTAAGGATGTTCATTCCATCACAAACCCCCCTAGGCACTTCCCTACATGGACATTGACATGTCTCTCTCCAGGGTGCAAAGAATGTGTCTCCCTTAACATCCAGCAAAATAAGGCGTCTGCATCTTCCTCGCACAAAAGCCCCTTTCTTCATTCACACATAGAATCAAGTTACCTGTCCTTTTGCAGCCTTCTTGATGTAAACCACTTAACATGTTGCAGTTCCTTTGCTTCCAGGCCACTGTCCTTTTGCTTTCCTTTTTTTTTTTTAATACATTTCTTTTGAAAGTTCACTGCCCCGGTACTATCCACCATGCTTCTCTCCTCCAGCAGCTCCCGCTTTAGGACTCCTTCCTTCTTCAATGACCAGTCACTGCCCTCCTCCACCATCCCTGTGCCATTCGCTGTTGATTATCTTCATACATATATCTTTGTTCTCGACAATCCTCTCTTTTGTTTGATCTTTTCTTTTCAAAGTTCATTGCCCCTGCACTGACCACCATGCATCTTCCCTCCAACAGCTCCTACTTAAGACCTTCATCCCCCATGACCCGTCACTGCCCTCCAACAGCCTGTGCCATTCGCTGTTGATTGTCTTTATCGATATATCTTCTTCCTCGACAATCCTGTTTCCCTTGTCTATTATTTCTCTTTGGCTCATAAGGCCGAGAAGTCATGGCCTCAGCCCCAAATTAGGGAACCCAACTTCACCCTTCTTGATGCAAGCTCACGAAAGATGGGTCAACAAAAGTCACTAGCCACTCAACCTTTCCGCAGTCCTTTATTTTCTGAAGGTTCATAAGATCCCCACATTAAGGAGTCCAAACCTTGATCCATGACTTGGACGGGATAAAGCTGTCATTGTAGAGATTAAATTTTGGATTCCACCATTCAGTTACCAATTGTCCTTTTGCCTGTCTGAAACCATCAGTTATGAGTACATAACATCTTTTTTCTTGATTGTGGAGAAGATTATATCTGTTCCCCCAACAAAAGAGCTCTAAGACCCCCAGGGTTGTTGGTTTGCAATATCCTGAGGCGTACATGACTGGATTTCCTCCATGTGCCAGCCCTCGAGCTATCCTCTTACCCGAGGTGCCTCCCTTCTATTAATAGAGACTCTCACCTTGTTCCTTCGCTTATGTATCGCCTTCCACCTTGCACCATGTTTTGTCATAGTTTTCTTCCTAGATCTCTGTACTCCATCATCTTTCCTTTCTTATGCTTGCTTCCCACCTGGTTAATATGATCACCTCTTGCAACCCATTGTTTAGTATGATCACCGCTTGCAACCCATTGTTTTGTATGTGGGAAACTTGGGTGAGGGGTGGCAATGCCTGCTTGGAATTTTGCTCCAGCAATCCCTGAGTGGAGCTGGAGTAGAGCTCGTTTGCACCATCAAGGGATCTAGATGTCTCTTATATGGATCTCCATCCTTTAACTAAAATGGATCTTGATCCCTGACTAAAACAGTTCTCAATGCTATGGAAGGGACACAAGTCCATTGAAAATGGGGGCACGATCTTGGTTCAAGGGATCATAATCCCAACCGGAGTTTTACAAGTTTTTGAATTTTGAACCTATGTCTTTGATTTAATGCTATTATTTTGCTTTTTGATGATTTTCTAGCTAATGACAACTTGGTAATTTTTTTTTTATGTTTACATGGTCGTGGTTTCGGTTTTTATGTTATCCTCTTCACATTGTACCTTATGGTAAGAATGGGCTTAGCTTATTTTGAGCATATTTGTCATATATAATAATAATTGGGCCTGCATGTATGAAGACTGCATCCTAAAAGGCTTAATTCTTGTGCCAATGGATTGAAAACCGAGTTAAAGTCATTCCTTATGATATCTTTGCATTTTCTTTTGTAAACCTTCTTGAACGTTATTCATTGTTTCATTTGGTGCAATATGCACTTTTGATTTGAAGATTGGAATCTGGGTTGTCTATTATTAAATATCTATATGTTTAAACTGCTTGATTTATTCAAATCGTATTCAAATCTATTATTAAATATCAGAGGCGCATTCCCAACTCATGAAGCTCCAGCTCTCCAAGAGCGAACAACATGCTGTAACTGAAAGCCCGAAAGCCTCCCAAGTTGAAACCCCTGCCCCGCCTCCACTGCCACAAGCACAGCAGCAACCCCTTCAACACCTCCCCCAACCATTGCCATCTCAGCAGCAGCAACCAAACCCACCACTCTAACTTCCTGCCCAAAGCCAGCCTCAGCCTGGACCCACCCAGTTCTTCCACCCACCACCATCACCACCACCACAATAAATCAAGCAGGTTAAACATATAGATATTTAATAATAGACAACCTAGATTCCAATCTTCAAATAAAAAGTGCATATCGCACCAAATGAAACAGTGAATAAAGTTCAAGAAGGTTTACAATAGAAAATGCAAAGATATCATCAGGAATGATTTTAACTCGGTTTTCAATCCATTTTCACAAGAATTAAGCCTTTTAGGATGCAGTCTTCATATATGCAGGCCCAATTATTATTATCAATGACAAATATGCTCAAAATAAGCTAGCTCATTCTTACCATATGGTACAATGTGAACAGGATAACATAAAGGCTGAAACCACGACCATGAAAACATAAAACAAAAATTGCCAACAAGTTGTCATTAGCTAGAAAATCATCAGAAAGCAAAATAATAGCATTAAATCAAAGACAGGTTCAAAATTCAAAGACTTGTAAAACTCCCGTTGGGATTATGATCCCTTGAACCAGGATCGTGCCCCCATTTTCAATGGGCTTGTGTCCCTTCCATAGCATTGAGAACTGTTTTAGTCAGGGATCAAGATCCATTTTAGTTAAAGGATGGAGATCCATGTAAGAGACATCTAGATCCCTTGATGGAGCAAACGAGCTCCACTCAGAGATTGCTGGAGCAAAATTCCAAGCAGGCATTGCCACCCCTCAACCAAGTTTAGCAGATTGAGCTTTCAATTGCCTTTGTACCTGGTTAATATGATCACCTCTTGCAACACATGATTATGCCTTTGCATTTGTTCTTGCCTTTTTGTGTTTCGTATTTTATCCATTTTCATGCATTTACTTTTTTCTCTTTGTACAATATATGGCTGAAGAACTACCAATCCCCAAAAAATCAAGAGCTACATGGTTAATTTTGGGAAAATTATCAAAATACACATAACTTATCAAATATATAACAATTTACCTTTTGCAACTATTCCAAGTCATAATCATGTGTATTTTGATGGACATTTTGAAATTTAACGATAAGAAATTGATGGAATGTTAAATAATTAATATATTAGGTGCATTTTGATATATTTCCCTTGAATGTTTTTTTTGTTGACTCATGATTGAAATTTCTTGAACATTTACAGGTACAAGCAAGTGTGCAGGTCTTGCGTGATAAACAGGAGATCGCAGAGGCGCATTCCCAACTCATGAAGCTCCAGCTCTCCAAGAGCGAACAACATGCTGTAACTGAAAGCCTGAAAGCCTCCCAAGCTGAAACCCTTGCCCCGCCTCCACTGCCACAAGCACAACAGCAACCCCTTCAACACCTCCCCCAACCATTGCCATCTCAGCAGCAGCAACCAAACCCACCACCCCAACTTCCCCAAAGCCAGCCTCAGCCTGGTTCCACCCAGTTCTTCCACCCACCACCACCACCACCACCTCCTCCTCAGCAGCAGGACTCCACCCATGCGCACTACCAACTCCCACCACCTCAGCAGCAAGTGGACCCATCCCACCCCCACTACCACCTCCCCCCTCCTCAGCAGCCATTGGACCCTACTCACAAGCCCTACCCTTTACCGGCTCAGCAGCCAGATCCCACCCATGCTCATTACCAGCCACCACCTCAGCAAGCAGACCCAACCCACGCCCCCTATCAAATGCCACCTCAACAGTCAGCACCAGCTCCTCAACATTATCAAATGCCAGGTCAGCACCCATCACCCACGCACAACCCCGATGAGCATGCACCGCCCTCCTACTACCCTCCCCCTGGTCGACAAGGGGGGCCTGCCGGGCCTACAGGACCTGTTGGGCCCACACCACCTCAGCAGTTTTATGGGCCTTCTGGCCACATGTACGAGCCGTCCTCACCATCTCCCCCTGCTTTGGGTCGGGCTGTTTCGGGCTTTCCAGGCCCATATGGCCCACCACCATCAGGGCCCAATTTTACTGAACCTTCGTATTCTTCTTATAATGGGCCTGTGCCATATGGCAGCGTGGGTGGTAACAAGGTGCCTCAGTCTTCTATGCCTTCAGCTCCTAGTGGGGCTGGCGGGTACCCAAGGCTTCCTACTGCTCAGATACTGCCACATGCTTTGCCCACTGCTTCTGGTGGTGGGTCGGGTTCATCGGGGGGTGGGAATAGAGTCCCGATTGATGATGTGGTGGATAAGGTCACAAACATGGGGTTCTCGAGAGATCAGGTGAGAGCTACTGTTAGGAAGCTCACAGAAAATGGGCAGTCGGTGGATTTGAATGTGGTTCTTGACAAGTTGATGAATGATGGGGAGATTCAGCCACAAAAGGGTTGGTTTGGGAGGTAACTGGTTATTTGTTCGATTCCATCCTTCAAGTGTGATGGATTTTCTTTCTTTCTTTCGTTCGTTTTTTTAGTTGTGTATAAAGATATGGTCCTTCGGTATTTGTTTTTGCTGCTTGTTCTTGAGACCTGCTGGAGCTGTAGAACTTGGGAGATGAGTGGTTTGTGTCGGAGTGCTTTGCTTTGCACAATTGGGTGGCAAGAGAGGAGCCTGTCCTCTTTCATTCAGTGACTTGTTTATTGATATGGCATAATAATGCAGGAACTGATTATAGTTGTGCTCCATGGCTGTTGGATCCATGGCTGTTGGACTGGACATGCATGGCTTATGTGGATATCAATCTGAAACTGCACTCAATGTTTAGAAAATCTGAGACTTGGCTTGCAACCTGCCGAGTTGGCTAGGGTCGATACCCTGGTGAGTCTGGAGGAAAATTTCAAGCATGCCTCGAATCTGACTTTCTAAAGAAATTACGTATAAGTTCCGTCTGAAAATCATCAGGACGTTGGAGAGTCATGGTTGGAGTCTCATGTGAGCAAACATGGACATGCCTAGTGATTGTGGTTTTGTGGATGTCGTGACCTGCTATATAATGAGAATGGGGTGCATCGAAATTTGGATACAATTTGAACGCTTTCTACCATTCCCCACTTTTTCTTTTAATGCCAACAAAATTTAATTCCTCGAAGGAATTCATTGTACTGGGAGTGCTGCAGAAGAATGCACAATACGATTTACTGATATCTTTACATAAAACCTTCATAGTTATTTGATCTCTTTGCACTCAGAAAATCTATATAATTATGTTTTGATCTACCATTGCAAAGCAACCAAACGATTTCTCAAAATCGACTCCTTTTGTACCTGTCTTCACCACCTCCTCAGCGTCTTGGTTTCTTTGTGTTTTATGTACTGATGCAAAACTTGTCTCTTGGATAATATTGTATCTTATCTAAAACATGAATCCACGCTCATGGAAACTTGAAAGTACTTCGACACCATTTCGCCCACAACTGTCACTGGTTTGTGAGGGAGTGAGCAATTGTACTCCTGAATATGACCAGTGTGTTGCCGTCCTCATTTTGGATCAGTCATTCTAGAGAAGCTAGGCCTAGATTCCTTTAGAGTTTCCATCAAAGATCAACTTAGTCAAATTGAGTAAGAGGCTGCCAAATGCTTGGTTTCAGGTCTTCTTTTCACGGGCAAACGTGTTAAAGTTTACCATTAAGTCTACCTTGGAGAGGCCTCTAAATTTTGTCCAGCCAGCACCCGATTTGCAATTCTTACTTGAATCTTGACCAAGCTCCATTTCACTAATCACGGCTTCAAAAACTCTACTGTTCGTCTCCTTCGAGATTTCCCTTATTATTGTGGCTATGGCATTTCTCCAGATTGTCCAAGTGTCACTGATTTTGTTCATTGTATAAACGAGTCTATTGCAAGTGGATATGCCTCTTTCCTTTATCTGGCGGCAATTTGATAAAGCCCATTATGGGGATGGGAGATCCGATGACGAACTTCGTCATTTGGAATCATGAAAGTACAATTCCCCTCTTGGTGATGGCCACAATTGACGTGATTAGACATTATTATATTGATCATTTCTTAAGCGGCACAAGATAAATGGAAACTTATTTCAAATAGAAAAAAGACATTGCTAAATGATTTTCTTGAGGTAGGAGTTATCTTATACATAGAAAAAGAGGCATCAAATAAATTGAAATTTGACACGTAGGTATGGCATCAAATAAATTGAAATTTGACACCTAGGTATGGAATAGTTGAATTTTTTGACGATATTACTAACTTCTATTAATCAAGTGCCGTCAAAAAATGTTACCAGCCGTTGAAGAAATTAACTCCTCAGAAATAGTCATGGTAAAGAAACACTCTTCTTTACCAAACCATCAGCCACACCATTAACTTCTCTATAGACATTAACTTCTCTATAGACATGCCTAAAAGAAACCTCCATGAGAGGTACAAATATCTATGATTTACAACTAAATTGATCTCATACAAGGTAGTCTATATTTTTATTGCAACAATTGATGACATCAAGGGAATCCCCCTCCGCCACAAAGTTACCTCATATATGCTTTTCCAATAAGAATTTTAGTCTTGAGAGGTAAGGTATGATTGCTTGGCAGTTATACAACCACACAGACCAGAATATCATAATATCACATTTTCATTTGAATATCTAATTACACCTCCTATTCCTACAGCTCCCGAATTCCCAGGTAAACTCCCATCAAAATTTAGTTTTAAACATCTTGGCATAGGAGGAACCCATTAACCTGTAGGTCGAAGTTTCGGAGTGCATTGACTGACTAGGTTCCCCAAATAAAGTAAACCATCCACTTTCAAAACACCCAATCTACCTTTAGAAGCAAAAACCCAACTCCATAAAGTATGTAAAATTTTGTTTTTAATGCTATATTCAGTCAATATAGCCCTATTAAAATTTCTTGTGTTCTTTCCTTCCAAATCTTCCAGAACAGTTGCACAAAATACTTTCCAAATCGTCTTCCCCATTTTCGACAGTCCTAGCAGGTTCAAATGCTTAACAATTTTCGCTTGGTTCCATAAGAGAAATCCCCATCTTTTTGGAAGCCCACACCCAAATATGATAGGTAAAGGGTCATATGAAAACAAGTACTCTCCAGATTCTTCATCTCCTTTACACAACAGGCCTATGTTAATCATAGTACTTATTTTTTTATACAGTGGTCATTGGAAGTTGTGGTTACAGAAAGCACAAGATCTTGAATGCGAAGCATAAGCTTATTGATTAGAAAATGATTACCATATTTTATCTAAAAAGTAAACTTGAAGATACTTTGCATACCATTGATAAATTAGAACATATAATTCACAGTGGCTTTGTAACTGAGGACATGATGCTGAAAAAGAATGAGCTTGATAATTCCTTACATGAGTTACTGAAATTAGAAGAATGCTATTGGAAATAGAGGACAAAATTGAAGTGGTTGAAGGAGGGGGGCCTCAACACTGCTTTTTTCCATGACACATAGCAAATGCTAGAACAAGATAATGACATTTTTTATCTTCAATTTGATGACATAAGGGACGATGATGTTTTGGGGTGGGAGAATAGAATTGTTCAACATTTTCAAAAGGCTTTTTCTTGGGGTAATTCTTTCATAGTATGTTTGGAAGGGGTTCCTTTTAAAATGTTTTAATGAATTGGAAGCTATTTTAATGGAGGAACTTAAGGTTGTAGTATTCTCCATCTCGGGAGATAAAGCACTTGGGACTGATGCTTTCCCTCTCGTATTCTTTCAAAATTTTTGGGGGTCGAGTAAGGACGAACTGTTGGACATGGTGAAAGAATTCTTGGTGATTCGGCATATTGACAAGAGCATAGACTTGACTTTGTTTCGGTAATCCCTAAGAAAGATTCCATTGCTTGTCTCAATGACCTTTGACCCATTAGCCTCTTGACGAGCCTCTATAAGAGAATTGTGAGGATCATGGTTGTTAGTTTAAAAAATATTTTTCTTATGATTGTCTCTGGTCCCCAATCTACTTTCATTCATAGAAGGCTGATCGCATATAGGATCCTAGTTGCTCAAGAATGTATCCATTCTAGGGTATTTTCTTGTGCGCCTAAATTATTGTTAAAACTTGATATGAAAAAAGTTTATGATATAGTAGAATGGGTATCCTAATTGAAATTATAAGGAAAATGGGCTTTGGTGTAAAATGGATAACTTGGATTATGGCATGTTTATCGACTGCTCACTTTTCTATCATAATAAATTGGAACCCCAAACGTTTTTTCAGGCCTTATAGGGGTCTGGGGCAAGGGGATCCTTTGTCACCTTTTTTGTTTACCTTAGTAGCTGAGGGCTTCAACATGATGCTCAATAGCATTTAAATTGCTGGAAGGTTCAATGGTTTTGAGGGTTCTACTGTAGGTCTAGTAATTGTAGATTTGCAATATAGAGATGATATGATAATTTTAAGTTGAGCAGCCATGGATGAAGTTTTGCAATGCTGTTACTTTTTTAGATGTCGTGAACCTCTTTTGGGATCAAAAGTTAATTTTCAAAGAACTTCGATTGTTGGTGTTGGCTGTGCAGAAGAGCTTGTTTCATCATTTACTAGTGTGGGTTGTAAAGGTGAATCATTCCCAATTAAATACCTGGGCCTTCTAAGTTTAGACACAAGATTGCCAAGAAGACTTGTATGGGATCCAATTATAAAAAAGGATAATGTGAAATTGGATTTATGGAAATCTAAATTTTTGTCATCAGGTGGCCGTGTTATTTTGATAAATTCTTCATTGGCAAACTCTCCTATTTATTAGATGTCATTGTTCTCAATGCCTAATAGTATCATCATGTCGATTGAAAGAACGATGAAGAGTTTTTTGTCGGGTTTTTTGATGGGGGAAGAAATATCATCTGGTTAATCTGGATAGGATTTACTACTCCAAAAATGGAGAGTGTTTAGGCGTTCAAAAGATAAAATTATAAATAAGGCACTCTTAGCAAAATGGTGGTGGAAGTCCATGAATGAGACTGGGTAGCTTTGGAGGAGAGTGTAGGCCGCAAAATATGGAGTGGATCAAAATACCAAGTTATCAGCAGTAGGAGGGGTGGGCATAATCTTTCGGAGCTATGGAAGGGTATTATTAACTGTAGGGGTATTGTTGTGGTTAATTATAACAAGTGGGTGGTAGAAAATGTTGAGAGGATTAATTTTTTGTCAAATAAATAGGCTGGGAGGTAAAGCATTGAAACTCAAATTTCCTAAACTTTTCTTGAAAGTATCTAATCATTTGGCAAAGGTGAATGAGATCTATATTAGACAAGATTTGGGAACATGTTGAAACATAAAATGCATTTATAACAGAATGCATGATTCTGTTATTTCCCAGTTGATATAATTCTTGGAGGAATTGGAATGGATTTATATCTTTCAAGAGGGAGATGATGAAATAGTTTGGGAAGACGAAAGTGATGGGATTTTATCTATGAAATCTATCTACAAATTATTATTACTAGTAAGAATCTCAGTTAGATTTGAAAATGCCATGTTCCCCATAAGGTTAAATTTTTTCTCTAGATCCTTATGCAAGGTAGAACTCTCAATGTTTTTTTATTAGGAAATGAGGTAAAGTCTTGGTTAGCATTTATCTGTTATGAAAAAGGGATGACGAGAATAGGGATCATTTATTTATCCATTGTGAAATTACTAGTTCTCTTTGGAGGCGGGTCTTCCAGTTGAGTGAATATGATTTTACCTCAACGCTATATGGATATCTTAGAGAAGCTATGTGTTTCAGAATTGTAAAAGAAAGGGAGAATTTTGTGGGGATATTATGAGGACTGCACTGTTATTGGGATGCCTGGCTGGAGTGTAATAGAAGAACTTTCGAGAAAAAGCTTATAATATGTAACAAATAAAAGAGAAGATTTTACATACTATATGGTCATGGCTTTCACTTATCAAGGAGGGGGGCGGTGTGGCTAAGGTGGATATCGTGCTTAACTTGGCAACTGTAATGTGGCAGTCTTTTAGATCTGCTATACATGTGGTAAGATGGAATCCACCAGTAAACAGGTGTATCAAGCTTCATTTTGATGGCAGTTC